ATCATTTTACTTCGTTCAGTTACGTATTGCTTCAAACAGCAACCGCTTGTTTAATTTAAATGGAACACCCTGTATATTTTACGAGAATCAGATGCACAATTTTATTGTTTATCAAATTATATTATACCATTTTTTACCTATCTCTTTAAGTTTCCGTAGAAAATGCATTTTCTTGTAATTTAGAACTTATTTATCAATATACCTATGGACTATTGACATTTTAGATTATTTTTAAAGAATGTACCAAATTTTTTAAAGAGTACCAGATACTAATATTGTCGATATAATTCGTTTATTTCATTGAAAAATAAAAAAAACTGTTTAAATATTTGTTAAAGGGGATCAATTAATATGATTCCAGTATTCAAACTACATTAACTGACTGTTTGCGTTGATTAATAATAATTGCTCCAAATACTAAAACTGAATTTTGTATGGGCATTAGACAGTGTGATAAAAAGTAACACACTTAAAATGATATTTCATTTTTTAATATAACTTATTTATAACAACAGAGACTTTAATTTGATAACTTATTATTATATATTGATTTCTGACTCAAATCCCATTTATTTATAATAATTTATTAATGAACACAATTAAGTATGTAATTAATTAGTATATGGGCGGAAATAATGGTGTTATATTTAATTAATGGTATACTCTTTTTATAAAAGATTTAAATAGTTTTTCTTTTGCATACAAATTGGCTAGTAATATTATCGTTTTGCTAAAAACGATAATATTACTGAACTCTATACATTATACATTTGTTGCTTTAAAAACAATCTAAAATGTCCATGGTCATATTCCATGGATATATTGATAAGGTCTAAATTATAAGATTTCAAAGTGTTTTCTACGAAAACTTGAAGGGATAGGTAAAAAATGGCATAATACAATTTGATAGACAATTTAATTGTGCATCTGATTCTCCTAAAATATACAAGGCATTCCATTTAAATTAAAAGAAGTTATTGCCGTTTGAAGCTAATAATTATTTAAAATAAATTTTTAGACACTCTGTATAAGATGGTATTATTTTATTATTGCAACACAATAACTGATCCATAAATAAACTTCATTAAATATTTAGTATTAAAACATTGATACCCTTGGAGAGATGAAGCTTTAAAATTTTGCAATTTCACAAAATTGAAAATATTTCAAAAACAGTAAAGGTTTAAGTATAATAAACCTTAATCAAAGGAATTACCTTTATTTTAATTGTGAAACTAAAAATGTAATAATATACAGGGTGTTCCATTTAAAAAATACAACTTTGATATTTTTATTTATTTGGGACACTCTGTATCAAATATTTTAAATTCTAGCTCTAATAGTCCTTCAACGAACCGCAAACTTACAATTTGTAAAAATCTCATCGTTTAGCTACAATCCTCCGTGTCGTATGTGGTGAACAACTCTGTATAGTTTTAGAGATATTAGTAAATAAATTAAAAAAAAATCAGTTTTTCTTAAAAAAAATATTAAAAATACAAAAAATACCCTGGTATAAAAACTATCCGAGGTATTTACTATACTTGATTTGTACTTACTTTCCTATAAATACTGTAATCTTAAACTATACAGGGTGTTCAAAACTGAATGCCAAAATTTCTATAATATAAAATACTTTTTCTTCGTTTTTTTTTTACTGGAACACCCTGTATTATTCCTTTTTTTAAATGGAGAATTAAAAAACGAACATTTTTGTAATTAAGGTACTTTAAAATTTTTAGCGGTTTCGCAAATATTCCAGTTTTTATTACATAATATGGCTCTTTCAACGGTAAAATACCAGACACAAATCATTAGGTGGTTTTGATAAAACATACTTTTGAAACCCCCATATATAATATAATATTAAATATATAAAAACAGTTAAAAATCGGCAATTTTTATGATGTCGAAAAATGTCCATTTTTTGTATTTGCAGAAAACATTACCTATTTTTAAAAGTTTAGCATACAATTTTAGAACACCCTGTATGTGGATTTAAAATTACGATATTTATCGCAACGGGAAGTTCAGACCAACTATAGTAAATACCTGGTATAGTTTTGATTTCCTGACTTATTTTTGTGATGTATCGAAAAAAAATTACAAAGGTTCGCGAATTGATAGAAATGTGCGAAGTGACACTTTTTCATTTTCCTACGTTACCATGACACGGTGTGCGAAGTAATGCGCGAAATACCTAATTCGCACACTGCATGTAAATTAGATGGGATTTTGAATTTTGATTTTGTTAAATGAAAAATGTTAATTATTTATTTCGAAATATTCAAGAATAAACAAATAACAAATATCAAACTTAACTAATTAATAGTACAACCAGTACACGAACCAATATTTAACGCCAAACTAGATAGTTCTGATTTTGCTTGAGATATGGGGGTTTTGGGACTTGAGACACTATCCAATTTTGATGTAGAGACACTCAAATATTTATTCAAATATCAAAATTTTATTTGATATTTGAATTTTATTGTTGATATTGAATTTTTATTGAAATTTGAATCCTCGACGTATCCCTCGGCCACTGTCGTAGTTTTTTTTTTATAATAATAATAATTTTAGGGAGATCCCGATTTTAATGTTTGTAGAAAAAATGTTGTTTGCAACTCGTGCGCGAACTGCATTGGTGATCTCGACTAACTTTTCAACTCTGCTACGCCTCGTTAAAAAATTCAAGTATCGATCCCCAAAGTGCAAAAATAACTATTTTCATTTATTTATTAATACCTCTGAAATTATTTATACAAAGTTTAAATATTTATGATTATGTAAAGTGATCAGAAAAGAAGACAAAAATGCAATAATATACAGGGTGTTCCGTTTTATAAAAAAACATCCCGATACACTCGCACTTTTTTGAGCCACCCTGTAGAAGTTAAAATATTTTCCTGAGATACATCCTAGAACATATGTACTTTAGGTTTGCACTTAAACAAAGTTTCTAATTTTTTTTTTATTATAGAAGCTTCAGCTAATAAAATGTAAAATATTTCATATTTGTAGTCGAATATCAGACTTGACCAACCATCAAAAATGTCTCGAAAAAGGCATATTAAAAATTACTTAAATATGTTAACTATATTTTAACTATTTCTAAGCGAGCACTTTGACAATGAAATGAAATTGGTGAATCCATTGCCTAATACAAAATTGAGGTCTATGATGGTAAAACAGGTTTTTTTGCCACTTTTGTTATACAACTCAAGTATTTTTCTTCTCTAGTCTAAGAAGCTTAGTCAATGCGTTATCAACAATCTGGGTGCTTAAAGATTTTTTGTATATCAGTGATAAAATTACTTTTATGCGTGTGTATGTACATAAGGTGTTAGTAGTTCCCTATTGTAATATTAATTGCATTTGGTGATAACCTGTGGTAAAACAGTGAACAGAAAGTTTAACTTATTTGCAGACAAATTAGAAAGTTGATAATGGCAGAAGAGAAGAATGGTTCGACAGCATCAATTAGCTATTTTAGTTCCACGTAAGTCAAAAAATTAAAATATATTAAGTTGTTATTATTTATCATAATTTTTTATAAGCATTAAAAATTTAAACTATTTTTTGTTAATATACAGCGTGCTACAAATTCGAGGTACGAGTATTGGTCTCTTTGTAACCTTATAGATACGAACATGGTTAAATTGGGGCAAAGTTGCCGTTTTGGGATGTTCACCAATATACCATCAAAAAAGTTTTAAAAATTTGAAGGTTTGCTGAGTTTTTTGCGAAAACGGATTTTTTGGAAAATCAATTTTATTTTTTCCTGTCGTTACTTTTTAGAAAATTAAAAAACTAATTGCACATTCTCATAGCCACTTTATTAGGGCTATCTGATAGCATTTTTATAATTTCAAATTGAGCTGACAATTTGTGAGATACAGAGGCTAAATTAATTTTTTTACGGGCGTGTTTTTTTCTCACAATGATATGCCACACTTATTTTTTTTTTGTTTGTAAAATTTGGACACAATTTATTTAAACTAATTTCAAGTCCGGCTCTGTTTTTTTTAATATTTAATATATTCATCGTTACAATATTGATAAGCTTTCAAACTTAACAATAATATGGATTGAATAGGGAAAATTGAATGCAATGAAATAATAAAAAATAATATAAATATAATGTAATATAAACAATAAAATAATTTCCCCGGAAGATGGATTGGAAATGGTAGAGCAGTATAATGGCCAGCGAGGTTTCTGGACCTGTCGCATTACTTGACGTCATTTGTAAAAGTTAAATCAACACATCTCAGCATTTACAATAAGGAGTACAAAATTTATTCGGAAGTATAAGAAGAAGATCTGTTCAAAGAGCTATAAATAAAATTGAACGAAAAATAAATTTGTGCAATAGGGAGGGTGGTAACCCTTTAGAATATTTAGACTATTTGTAGAGCATTAGAAACTAGTTTGTAGAAGTTAATTTATTCATAATAACTACGACTAATATTATGCAAATTATTAGATCGCACACTAAGATTTCAAATTCACGATAAAAAAAAGTTAAAAGTAATATGTTTAAATTGCTGATCTGGATATTATTTATTTGAATCTTTCAATTGGCTCAATTTTCCTTATTCAATGTTAATTAGCGCTGATCAATATTGTTGCGATGAATATAATCGGATTAAATAATTTAAAAGCCAGAGTCGGACTTGAAATTATTTTAAATAATAATTAAATAATTTTGTTGATGTTAAGGTACCCAAAACAAACAAAAAGTATAAAGTGTGGTATATCATTGTACTCAGAAGAACAAGTTCTTTCAAAACCAGAAATAAAAAGTGCAGGTCCGTATTTAAAAAAATTAAGTTAATCTCTGTATCTCACAAATTATCAACTAATTTGAAAATCTAAAAATACTATCAGATATTCCTAATAAAGTGGCTATGAGAATGTCCAATTCGTTTTTTAATTTTCTAAAAACATGAAAAAATAAAATTGATTTTCAAAAAAATCCGTTTTTTTCAAAAAACTCAGCAATCCTGAAAATCTTTAAACTTAATATGCCATTAAGGAACACCCTGTATTTCTTTTTTCAGGACAACATTGGTGCATGATGACCACAAAGTAATCAGTGCCAAAATCTCTGAATTACGTATTGAAGAAGTATATGACCCATATCAAAATAGAGACTTACAACATCCAAACGGGTAAACGTCTAATATGATATATACAGGATGTTACATAATTTAGAGCACTTAATTTTGTCCATTTTACCAGAATTTAAAAATGGCTGACACAATGACATGTGGCCTTTTTTAATAGATTAATAATTATGGAGAACCGGTGATAGGATTTTTTTTTAAAATTTGGATTTTTACATAAAGATACCTGCTCCATTTATCTAAAATATGATCAGCGTTACAGTGCTGTCAGATAATTTGAAAAGTGTCTCTCAAAAAGTACTAGTTGCACTAGTTTTAGTATTTTTTTTGCTTGATAACGGTCAGTGATATTTTTGACCGAAACTTTGTGCAAGCAAAAATAAATAGACAATGGAGGTCCGAAATTCTTTGGTTAAGCTATCTCTTGTATTCGTCATTAATTTTGATTGTCAATTTTCTATTTTTACTATTGAATTTTTGGATGGTACTTATATTTAGTACTTGAGTTTGCTATTCTAACTATTTAACTTCTACTGGACTGTGTACAGTACTTAAGTAAAATAAATGATGTATTACTTGATAAAAGTAAATATCCTGTTACACACGTGCATACAATTTTTAAAATTAGGTTCCTAGTAACAAAACTATTGTGATTACATTTAATTGATATAAATTATATTAGAGTAGTAGAATAATATTTTGATGAATTCGAATCGAAATTATCAATACCTGTCATTATTCAGAGAAATTAAACATGTTGACTAAATAGTTATTAGACTGAAATCATAAATTTGAAATGTTTGTGTACCAAAAATTCAAAAGGAACTGTTATGATCATTTTTTCGAAGTAAAATTTATAATAAATTTAAAAAAAAAGTTCTCAAATTTATTTCCTTAGTCAAATAACTATGTAGCTCGTACAAATTTTTACCAAGAGATATTTTTTACGTAGAAAATAATGAAAATGTATATTTTTTCACTCAGTAGTTTTATACAGGTACCGACGAAAAGGTATTACTCTTCAAAACAGTTAAAATACATGTAGGTTGCGCACCCTACAAATAGGAGTCATATTGACATCAAAATCAAATTTCTCATGTCAGACACCAATATTTATCCAAAAATTGACGTTATTACAGAAATTATTTGGAAAAAATCGAAATAAAAATGAAACTTCTACACCCTGTATCTCCGAAACTAAGCATGTTAGAATATACATTTATACGAACTTTTTTACTTATTTTTATCTGCAGAATATGCTGCCGGATTTTCTGGAATACAGTTTGGACCACCCTGTATAAGGGTCAGTGATCCATCTGTATGTATAAGTCAAAATAAACAAAGACTATCGAAGTCCGAAATTCTTTTAATTTCAAGAGTGAATCATTGTTTAACAAATTCAAAGAAATCTTTTAGCTATATTAAGTAACATCCTGTATTTTATTTAGTTTGCTATTCTAAAATACTTATTTAAACATGTTTTTATTTAGTTTTTTAGGTGCTTTCATGCACATAGTAAAAACATCATTGGGAACTGGAATTTTGGCTATTCCAAGAGCATTTAAGAATGCAGGACTGTTAGTAGGACTCTTTGGTACTTTGCTTGTGGGAATCATATGCACTCATGCCATACACATTTTGGTATGTAGTAAGATTCATATCACGTAATAGAGCCAGTTATAGGAATGATTGTTGTAGGTTAAGGCATCGCAAAAAGTTTGCTCAAAAACGAAAACGCCCAGTCTTGGTTTTGCAGATACAGCTGAGGGAGTTTTTAAATTGGGTCCGCCAGCCTTACATAAGTGGTCACGGTTTGCCAAGTAAGTATGTATAGAGTCTTAATAGTCTTTCTATCGATTAAAATTAATAAGGCATCATCATTTTGATTTTTTTTAAATTTTTATTTGTATTTTTATATATATTTTCGTTTATACGCAACGCTTTTCACACGATAAATAAATCATTTGGAAATGTTTCTCATAAGTTAAATGTTGGTTAAATCATTGGCATTAGCGTAACTACAGGGGTGTCCATGGGTGTCGGACACCCCCTCCAGGTACTGCTGCGGCCCCCCTCAGAGAAATCTTGAATTATGTCTCTTGGCTACGTATTAATTTTTATTTGCTTGTGATGAAGTAAAAATGACGTTTTCTAGTTTTGTTTAGTTAATATTATTTTTTTGATGTGTTCAAAAAATGTGTTAGTTTTTATTTTTTTTTAAATTTGTAGGTATTTAAGTAATATACAGGAACACGGTTTGACGTTGAGTCAATGAAATTTATTGATAGAGAAATTCATGTAAACGTTTAATTCAAAAAATGTGTTTTTTAGAATTTTTTAGAATTTAGAATGAGTGGGAGGGGGTTAATCACTTCGACCTTACAGATCCATTGTGTCCCCCTTTCTTGAATCATAACTCATCATACAGTCCCAGGGCTTTGACAAAAGCCAGTATCTGGGACGGTTTTATAGAGGGTAGTCACTCGGCGCACTCAGTGATGAGGTGTACTGGTGTTACCCCATCTTCCCCACAGAATCTGCATTCGCCGTTTCTTCTTAGTTTCAATCTACTGAGGTGTTCATTGAGGAGACAGTGCCCTGTTAAAAACCCCGTGACAATCCGAAGATTGTTCTTACTCAGACCCAGGAAGGTCTGTGATTTTTCTTGATCATAAGCCCTCAGAAACTTCTTCGAGTGTCTTAGACCATTGCAAGATTTCCATTCCAGGTTGCGGATGGAATCTTCCAAGTTCTTTAGTTCCGCCTTGAGTTGGTTACCACTTGGAAAGCAGAACGGTTCTGGTCCACTTAGTGGAGTGTTCGCTCCTTTCCTAGCTAGATTATTTGCTTTTTCATTGCCTTCTATCCCTTGGTGAGCAGGCACCCAGTGTAGGAGGACTTTGTTTTCTTTGCCTAATTTATTCAGCTTCTCTATGCGTTCTTTGACCAATTTCGAATTGATTGATACTGAGTTGATCGCTTTTAACGCTGCTTGACTATCAGACAAGACGGCCATTTCTTGTTTCCGATAGTTCATATCTAAGATAAGTTGTACGCATCTTTCGATAGCGTAGATTTCTGCCTGTAGGATATTAGGGTAAGTGCCCATTGGTTCGGAGTATTTAGCTCTTGGCCCAAACACTCCGATCCATGTTCCCGTATTGGTTTTGGAAGCATCAGTATACCAAGTTATGGTATGGTCTTTTAACTGCTGGGCAAGCGTTTCGCTCTTCCAATCCTTTTTATTGCTCAATACTACATTGAGATGTTTCTCAAAGTTGTACGTTCTTGGCATGTCGTCCACTGGGAGTTGCAGGAGTGGTATTTCCTTTTTGAGGGTGTTCCAAGCCCCTCATCTGACAATTCTCCCAGTACTAATTCCGTTAGTGACCATTCTAATCATTGTTGCATTGGCATATCTACCAATGACAATGTGCAGTGGTGTTAGATCTAGAATAACCTCTACTGCTGCTGTTGGACAGGTTCTCATGGCTCCTGTGATGCAAACGCATGCTAGTCTCTGGACTTTGCATAGGTTTAGCCTTGCCGTCCGTTGCTCTAGTTTTGTGTACCAGGCAACTGTTCCATAAGTAATCATGGCTCTTACTATCATGGTATACATCCAGCGCAAAATGTTAGGGGAGCAGCCCCATCTATTTCCGGCCAGTCTTCTGCATATCATGAGAGCCTTTATGGCGTTGCTGGTAGTGTTCTTAATATGCCTGTTCCACAGGAGTTTACTGTCCAGGGTTATTCCCAGATATTTAACTTCCTGTGTTGGCAGTATTACCTTTCCATCTAGTTGAATTCTTTTCAAGTTTTTCAGACTTCGCTTTCTGGTGAATGGCACTATCGCGGTTTTGTCTGAGTTGATACTCAGCACGACAGTCCTACACCATCTCTCAGTGATACGGAGTCGTCTTTGGATAATATTACACAGGGTGCCTTTTCCCCCGAGCGATCATGACTATGTCATCTGCATACCCAATGCAGTGTATTCTCGCTAGAGTTAATTCATCTAGTAGTTCATCCACCACCAAGCTCCACAGCAAAGGGGAGGTTACTCCACCTTGTGGAGTTCCTTGCGTTTTTTTAAAATGATTCATTTTTTTAAAACAATAGCCCTAGGCCCGGCTGGGCTCAAACCCAGGAGAGCCTAGGGCTAGGGGAGGGGGGGACTCCAGGATGAATTGCTAGTTACGCTAATGATCATTGGTTGCCATTGCTATAGAGAACTTATATTTTTCCTATACAAAATATTTGCGAAATAAACTACAGTATATCTCCGGATGGTCTTTACAAGAGGAAAACCTTTTTTATTATAGATATTGTGACAAAAATGCTTCCTTCATAAAAAAATTGCATGGTTTAAAATGGTCATTCCCGTATACTTTTTCAAATTTACATACTGTTTTAGGGAAAATTGAGAAAAATATGAAAATATGGTTGAATTTTTTCCTAAAAATCAAAAGGCGTTTGTATATAGTCATATCGATTCAATTTCATTTTTTGATAGATGATTATTATTAATTTTGAATAACGTCATATTCTTTGCTGTTATTAAAATACCACATTTTCGGATAACTATCAAAACCCTTTCCGTAACATTAAATTAAATAAATTATATGCTTCTTTAACATTTTAAAGCACCAAAAAATATGACGTTAATTAAAATTCTATAAATAATAACCAATCAAAGAATGAAAACGAAGTTATATTTCCATAAAAACGCCTTTTGATTTTTAGGAATTTTTAGGAAAAAATTCAACTATATTTCAAGTTTTTTTTTAATTTTCTCTAAAACGGTATGGAAATTTAGAAAAGTATAAAGGGTATTAACAATTATAGAACAAGCAAATTTTTCTCAAAATGTCAGTTATAAAAAATGTTTTCTCTTATAAAGACAATCGGTATAAGACATTCCTAAAGACAATCGGTATAACATTATGTTTCAGGTACTTCGTAGAAGGGGGATTATTTTGCATCCATTATTTGGCCGATGCTGTGTATTTAGTAATCATATCGGTATCATTAACAAAGGTATGTCTGTTAATATTATAATGTACATCTTATTGCATTCTCCGTTTTGTTGAATGTCAGTAGCAGTACTAATATCGTTTTTTTTTAAGTTGAGTGCGTCTCAAAAGTGGCTCACCCCTATAACTTTTTAATTTTTTCAAATAAAAAAACGAGATTTGGTATGTTAGTATATGACATAAATTAGGATTGATTCAGGTTTTTGCCCACTTCCTGTTTCATCGGAAATGACTACAAGTTTTCATTTTTAAATAGCACCCTCGGAATTTTTTTACTTTATTCGATAGAAAACGACATTCTGAATAGAATAACATATTATATGTCAACTTTTGACATTCTCGGTAAATAAAAAATTGCATTTCGAATTTCAAGCTAGAGTGCAGTTATTATATTAAAAAAAACAATTTTTAGTCAAGGAGCCTCGGAAAAATAGATTTGACCCTCTAATGTTTTTAGTGTCTTGTCCTGGCCAGTTAAAAGATGTAAAAATCATATTTTTAATCATATCTCAATTTTTTCAAATGGAACGACGCACGGTAGCTCATTAGCATATTTGGAAAAAGCATTTTTTACGAATAATTTGATACCACACACTTCGTATTTCGAGTCAAATTTTCCTTACAAACCGCAAGTTATAATTTCAAATAAACCATAATGCGAAAATGTCAAAGTTGATATATGATAGGTCATTCTATCCAGAGTGTTATTTTCTATCGAATAAAGTAAAAATACTTGAGTGCCATTTAAAAATCAAAAGTTGTAATACTATGTTTTCTATTTTATTTCAATATCACTAATTTTTAAATTTTCCCTTAGTTTTTTAAGGTGTACTACCCGTCTACAGAAACATGGGACGAATACATTTTCAAGTTGATTCTATTTGTACCGTTGCTGATATGCGGCCAAGTAAGGCAACTGAAACATCTAGTCCCTTTTTCCCTTATAGCAAATCTCATGCTCATTGTAACATTTGGTATAACCGCTTACTATATGTTCTCTGGGATCAGTGAAATCAATATTAAAGATAGATCTTTAGCAGCGGGTATTTCTGGTAAGTTAATAATATACTATAATTAATAATTTAATTAGTGACCTATATACATATATACAGGGTCCGGCAATAGTGCGTCGGGCATCTGTAGCTCCTAGAATAAAAAACTTGAGAATTTTGTTTAAGTACAAACCTAAAGTATGTACCAGGATGTATTTCAGGAAAATATGTAAACTTCTATAGGGTGGCTCAAAAAAGTGTGAGTGGACCTGGATGATTTTTTTAAATGGAACACCCTGTATATTATTGCATTTTTGGCTTCCTTTTAGAGCACTTTACATAACCCTAAGATATGAATAAATATATTTCGGTAGTTACAGAGATATTAAAAAATAAATCAAAAATATATATTTTTCAGCCCTTCTTAAAAAAATTATTAAAAATACAAGAACTGTTCTGAAATCAAAACTATATGAGAAATTTACTTTAGATGGTCGGTTCTTACTTTCCTATAAATATGGTAATCGTAAATCATACAGGATGTTCAATATTCAACGCCAAACTTTCTAAAATATAAAATAATTTTTCTTTGTTTTTTAAATGGAACATCCTGTATATTATTTTTTTATTAAATGGAGAGTTAAAAAATGAACATTTTTTGTATTTAGAGTATTTCAAAATTTTTAACGGTTTCGCAGATACACGCAGTATTATTTCAAATGATGCTTTCAATGGTAAAATCGAGAGAAAAATCATTGGGTGGCTTTGATTAAAATTTACTGTGGAAAATGCCATATGAAATATAAAACCGCCAATAACTGCGAAACCGTTAAAAATTTTAAAATACTCTAAATACAAAAAATATTTATTTTTTAATTCTTCGTCTACTGAAAAAATAATATACAGGGTGTTCCATTTTTTCCAGTAGAATTTTGAACATCCTGTATAATTTACGATTTTCATATTTATAGCAAAGTAAGTACAGACCATCTAAAGTAAATACCTAATATAGTTTTGATTTCAGAACAGTTCTTATTTTTTTAATATTGTTTTTAAGAAGGACTGAAAAATATATTTTTTTGATTTATTTTTTAATATCTCTGAAACTATCGAAATATATTTATTCATATCTTAGGGTTATGTAAAGTGATGTGAAAGGAAGCCAAAAATGCAATAATATACAGGGTGTTCCATTTAAAAAAAAATCATCCAGGTCCACTCACACTTTTTTAAGCCACCCTATAGAAGTTAAAATATTTTCCTGAAATACATCCTGGTACATACTTTAGGTTTGCACTTTCAACAAAATTCTCAAGTTTTTTATTCTAGGAGCTGCAGATGCCCGACGCACTATTGCCGGACCCTGTATATGGTAATCGCAAAACAATTTCCGATGCACGTGATCAACTTTGAGTGACAGGCGATGGTGACAGCGCTGCCAGATTGTGATGGATTTATGAGGTGAATCTTAATTTGAAAGTGACAAACAATATATTTTTTAAAGAGTTTTACCTTTTATTTTTAATTTAATAATTAATATTTTAGAAATTAATTGATTTATTTGTTTTATAGCTTATTTTACTTATAATACATATTGGAAAAAACTAGTCCATTATGAAGATTATTCTAAGCGTTATTATGGGTTATCTATTTATTTATTGATGTACATCTTACAACGCCATAAGTGGTAATAACAAGTAAGAGGTATTAATGCACAAACTATAATCACAGAATTTAATAAAAACTTTCGTAGAAATAACTTGGAAAGTGGTGTACTGTGCTTATCAATCAAACTTACTTCTCTGACTGCAGTCAAGGGTAATAAAGGACCTTTATTGTCACGTTCTCGTTCAAAATAGTTTATCAGGGAAGCTACAAGCTCTTTGCTTCGACTTTTTAAATGCTTCGGCATATTTTCAACACAATTTCAAGAAATGCAATACAAAAACTCGAAAATTTAGTATTTAAAAGAACTGTTGGTGCTTTTAAAGTACAATTTTTAAAAAAAGATTATGAAAATAAGCAAAAAAAGCGAGAATTACTCACTAAGATTCAATAACAAGACGATATTACATAAAACAATGACTGACAGTAGGATAATTGTTAAATAATAAACGACAACCTTGCTGAAAATGGCGCAATATGACCAATATAGTGATAATAAAATTCAGTTTAAACTAATTTTTCCAGCTTTAATCTCAATAAAATATCTGTTCCAATCATTTGCTCCGTAAAGTCAAATGAAGAGCTGCTCGGTATCTTATAATATACAACAAATTTAAACATTTTTGCCAACATTTCATTTAGTCAAGTTTCTAGACTTTAGTGTCAATGTCTATATGATTGATGACGTGCATCGGAAAATGTTTTGCGATTACAATAGAAACATTATCATCATCATTAGCAGCTTATTCAACCATTCCCAATTATGGTGTAGCCTCCCTCACATGTTTAGATACTGTCTTTGTAGTTGGGCCAATAATTTTCTAATATCATGGTCCCATCTCAGGTTTGGTCTTCTTCTAAGTCTCTTATTAATTCCTCGTGGGTACCATGCTGTATTTTTGTGGTTCATCTGTTGTTCATTCTTCTTGCCAGGTGTCCTGCCAATTGCCATTTGAAGGATTTGACTCTGTGGATGACAGTTGTTACCTGGGTCTTTTGTCGTATCCACTCTATTCTTTTACAGTCTTCTTTGGTTATTCACAGCATATTTTGTTCCATTGAGCGTTGTGCGACCTGCAGTTTCCTTAGCTAGATCTTGATATGGTACCATTTAACTTAAACTAAACTGCCCGTCAAATTAAATACCACAGCGATTTTTTTACTTATTTTCAACGGGTTGTAACTTTGAAAAAAATGGACCGATTTTGTTGATTAAAAAAATTAACTAGAATTATAAGTATTCTGGATATAGCTAAGACTAATATCTCGGGACGTATTGGGATAATATTCTGAACTTAACAGCCCATAAGGTTAAAAAAATAATTTTACTTTTTCGCTGGTCGTATTTTTAAGAGATTTTTGTATTAAACTGCGTTAGTTAAATCATTTTTTTTAATATCACATTGTAAATGTAGCGAATATTCTTCAATTTTAAAGCTAATTTCAGTTTTGTTAGCATATCTCTTAAGAAAGGTAGAAAAAATACAAGTTAGAGTAAAAATTGATTATCTTTTATTCCAGATGAGTTATCGTAAAAATTCCAAATACGTCCCGAGATATTAGTCTTAGCTATACCCAGAATACTTATAATTCTAGTTAATTTTTTTTTCGGCAAAATGGCAGCAACACAAAAATTACATTTTGTTTTCACACCCTGTATATCATAGAAAACTAAATCTCATACAAAATTTAGAAAAATCTACGAAAAACGATCTTACAACTCGTAATGAAAATGAGTAAAAAAATCGCTGTACTTTTTAATTTGACGGGCAGTTTACTTTTGAAACATTTATATACTTTAATTTTAGACTACAGTGATATATAAACCGCAAATATATTTACCACACTTTTTACCACTTTGATCAAAATTAAATCCTTATACAGACCGGACCACCGTAGTATAGTAACCACAGAACACACTAAAGAAGAACGCTAACTCCCATGCATTTTTTAGTTTCAAAACGGTTTCAAATTTGTAAAGAAATCTGTAATCTGTATATTGAAGTGGCGCCATCGCCACCCAGAGTAACAAATGTGGCAAATTTAAATAAATGCAATTTATTTTTAAGCAAGACAATATTGGCTGTTCGCCAGTTAGAGCCAATCAGATTTCTACAAAATAATGTGTAGTCATAGTTGGTCCCAAACAAGTAAACAAGTCAAATGGTAAAACAAGGATTTATATATAAAGGTTAAACCAGGTTAAACTATTGTAAAGTGTTAAAATGGTTTGCTTATATCATTTATGTGCATAAAAACCTACAATAAATAATTTATTTTTAATTTACAGAAAATTATACCATGAGGAAACATTTTACAAACAAATAAAACAACAGATTAAAAAGTATAATATTTATTATAGTACCAGATTTAGAACACATAACAAATATCGTTGAATACAAGAGAAAGTGACGTCCATTAGAAACAATGTTTTATTTAAATTGTATTTTTTACATATGGACTTGAACAATTGTGTAATATCACATTGTGGAGTTTATGTACAAAAATATAAGATTTGATCAATTTTTTTTGTAAAATATACGGCGTTGTAAAATATTACATTGTTAAAATAAAATTCACGGGCTGTTTGGACTTGGTTAGGTTACCTACCTCTCTTTCTCAGTTATTAAATAAAATTGTTAGATAAATCAAACCTTTAACTTAAACCTTACCTTTAATAAAGATCTTAAAAATCAAACACAAAACAAAGTTCAAAAAAATTCAAAAATACAAAATCACGATTGTAAAATGAAGATTGCAAAAAACACAGCCAAACAACCAGAAAACAGCGAAACGCGCATCTCCGTTCTATTGCAAAACACAACTGAAGAGGAAGGAGGAAGCCGGAAGCAGAGAAAACTGATTTGACATACAGAACAATGACAGAACATAATTAATAATTTTATTTAGGCAACTATAAAAAGCAATTTTGTAAGCAATTGTTGGGCAACTAGAAAAATTAAAATAAAAATACGCCATCTAGCGCCCCAGGAAATTACTACCCCAAAAAAAAGATCGTTCAAGGTCGTATATCTCAGTTGACTGGCCCTGATAGTAACATAGGCAGAACCGGGCGAATTAGCGTATACCCGTCCGCCGGATAAAAAGCAGGCGAAAAAATGGGATAAAATAAAAATAGGTAGACCATGTGAATACCAAGAATGTTTCAAAATTTGTATTTATTCGTGTTTTAATAGCAAAACGAAACACTTAGATTCTCGCTACAGTTCTCGTGCTTAAAAATTTATTTTTTAAAGTAAAATAATGGATGTTTACGAAGTTCATTGAGAAAATTCGTTAGCAAAATGGTATTTCAAAATAGGGTCTTATCGGGATAGCACAGGCAGAATTTTTTCCACAAACTTTTTGTAAACAAGCCAATTCATCTTTACCTACTGTATCCAAAGAGTTGTTGTTAATTTTAAAGACATGGGTGCGTGTTCAAAAAACACAAAAAGCCTGATGTGTTGATTAATGAAGAACAAGAGTTAAAAGCAAGTGTTTATTTGTGCTACCGCGAGATCAAAATTACGTTTTCAAGTAATCCAAATTGCGCGAGGTGGTTGTCCTGCCCACAATGCCCGTATTGTTCAAGAATATTTGAACAATATTTTTCCCAACCGTTTAATTAGTGGATATGGAACTATTTTGTGGCCCGCGTCACCAGATCTTTTTCTCCCACAATGATTTATTTTGTGGGGTTATAGCAAAATCCAAAGTGTATGGTCATAATAGGGCTAATATCTGGATGAGCTTCAAGTAAAAATACGGAGGCTTTCCAAACTATTGACTCTAATATGTTGTAATGTCAGTCAGGGGATTTTACTACCACCTAGGCTTCTATCTAGCACAAGAAAATGATCTTTTGAACACTTGTTATAACTTTTATTTAGAGTAATATTTTCGTTTTTTTTGGGTTTTAAGAATTTATTTATTTTAGTTTTGGCTTGTAAACACACTCAAATAATAAATATTTAAGTATTTTAATTTTAAATGTTACCTTAGGTGAAGGTAAACACTCCTCGCGTCGTATTCCTAGTCTGTCACGACCATAGACAAACTAACAAAAGCAAGACGCGTCAACGCTGTACTGCAAAACGGTAACAAGTTTGATAAGAGTTTATTACCGCGCTTGCGTCAACTGGCCTTTTAGACGAGGACGGTTTACTTATGGATTGTGTATTTTGTAGTAGCCTTTTTACACAAGGATGTTTAATTAAAAAGCGTTTATTAAAATCAAATAAATTTATTTCCATCAGTAAAATAAACAATAATTTCTGGACATAACAGATATAAAAACAAAAGTTAAATAAACGAAAACGTATTCCTCTTAATAAAATAACAAAAAGATGATAAAAAAACAACAGTTATGAAGCAGAAATAAAAGCATTATTCTTCAAAGGTACAAAAAATAATTATGTATATTATAATATTAATAATAGGAACAACAAGAAACATCACTTGAAAATATACAACTTTTCAAATATAAAACAAAAACATAAACTTCACATTTCACAAATTTTCAAAATATTAACATTTCGAGTCTATTTATAAAAATATAAAGCACGAAAATTCAAATCATAAAAAGATTAAAAGATAAAGATTCTTATAACTTACAGTGAATTTGTAGGACCTTCGTTTTGTCTACGTTAGCGATGTGTAATCACAATAATGTATAATCACAGTAATTATTATGTTCTTCATAAATGTAAAATGTATTAAAATTATTTGTTTTCGTTTTTGTACGCTAATAAAATAATAGTAATAACCAAACAAAACGCAAAATCAGGAATTCAACAGTTCGTTCAAAAAGGATGGTTCAAAGCAAAAACGTTTTTCGTTTATTAGGTTACTAGGTTGACGAGTGCGACTGCGCGATGATTTCTGACTCAACGGCCAGCGCAAAAAGCAATAATTCGACTTTCGCAATCCTTTGAAAAGTCTTGCTTTGTTGGTTGTCTATGGTGCGACCGACCCGTCAAGCTTTGCTGCAACTGCGTACTGCCTAACCAGCCGACAGTGAATCTCGAGTATGAACGCAAAACGGGTAAACATAAATTCGTCCGGCAACTTGCTATGTTACCAGTAGCCTGGTCTTCTCTGTATATGATATAAATAAATATTATTACCTTTATTAATAAATTAAATAATGCATGATTTACAATTATATCGAAGTTATATATATATATATATATATATATATATATATATATATATATATATATATATATATATATATATATATATATATATATATATATATATATATACTCATATATATATATATATATATATACTCATATATATATAATTATATTAAAATTTCAAATTATATCAAGACAATTTATATAAAAAATTATTCATTATTTTATCTACGTCAGTGAGTTAAGAAGCTTTTAACTCATGCATTTTCATTACCGCACTCCTTGTTTAGATGACTACCAAAGAGAAAAAATATTTTGTAAAACATTTATTTTGCACTAAATTGGAAAAATATGTTATGAGTACCTTTTCATTTCCATAGTTGGTGTACTTTTTTTTCGGTGCACCATAGAATATGTATATTAATACTTCCGTTTCGATCTTGCTGGAAGCAATCCAGAAATGGCTCTGAATGCCTCTTCCTCAATGTCAGAGGAATACTTTCCGAATCGCTCATTTTTTAAACTAGTGACATCAATATTATTTACTCAATATTTTAACGCACGGTTTTACTGTCATATTGACATTGCCATGCATGGTGTTATTTGAATAAAGGTGGTATTAAGGTAATTGATTTTTAGGATAGGTATATAGTTAAGAAGTTAAGTACAATAATTTTTACAATGCATTGTGTGTTTTTATAGTTAGACGTAGATAAAATATTGTACAATACACGCGAGTTAACTCCATTATGATACTTGTGTGTTTACACAACTCGTGCTACGTACTCGTGCAACTTTCACATGCGTCTATCATCTATTATGTTATATTATCTGACTTTAATTATATTTTATTTATTTATTGATAGGAATACCTTCGTTCTTCAGTACGGTACTTTTTTCCATGGAAGGAATTGGAACGATTATGCCAGTGGAAAATTCGATGGTAAAACCGAAATTTTTGGGTTGCCATGGAGTACTGAACTCTGCAATGATGGTTATCATAAGTCTGTACGCTTCGATAGGATTTTTTGGATATTACAAATTTGGCGAAGGGACAGAGGCTAATCACAAAAAATTTACCTGACGACATGTAAAGTCATTAGATTTAAGAGTCTGTTACGCTTCAGCACTTTCGGGTCGTTCTCAAGGGTCAGTTAAAGCGGGTGTGTGGACATGGGAGATATATTATATTTCGAAATCCGCCTAAGGCTTGGCCCCAATCCTGTCGTGTTAAGCCACACCCAAAATCCAAACACGTGCTTTCATTAAGGCTTGATTAAGGTTTGCAGAGCTTCAGCATTTGCCATAAAATAGCGAGCAATTTGTTACAAAACCATATAAATTATATTTTACTGTAATCACAAAACGTCAACCTATTTCTTTCTACGTCAATCTATTGTAACGGAATTTTAAATTATGTCTTTATTTTCAAGAAAATTTAGTCCAAACAAGGAATATTTTGTTGACGTTTGACCATCAAAATCATAAAAATAAAGAAGTTGTTTAAAAATGTACTACATGGTATAATAATAATGTACTATATGGTATAATCTTTTATCTTTAATTTCCTTCTTCATTTGTGTAAAAATACCTGGCCAGTTTTGCATAAAACGTGAAATGCCAAACGCTTATTTTGCTACTTTTTCGGACTAGTGAAATGGACTCTTCCGTTAGGTTATTTCTAGGATTTTAGGTCTGCAACGAACGGCCGCGGCGCTTCGGCGCGCGGTGCAAGCGGTTGCTTCGCTTGAGTCAGCGGACGTGCATTATAGCACAGAATATCTAGCTACGCAACAGAAGCCTCGTTACATGTATAAAATTGTAGGTAGCAAAAGGAGACGGGCTTTAAAGTCTGTCTCCAAATCAGATATTTACGATGTGGTAGTTTCGCTACTACATAATAGAGGGCAATAAATTTAAAAAGAAAACAGTTTTCTACAAACAAGGGTAAAAAGAATTTTTTATTGGCGTTACGCCATTATTAATATTCATATCGTAATACTTCCTGATAAAGCCTGCCTTCTAATTTGCTACATCATTTAAACATATTAAAAATAGATCAGAGCTGTTTTTTCGGACACCCTGTTAGTTGGAATTAAAATCGCCAGGCCAAATTACAATCACTTCCTGACGTTTGGTGTATAATTGAATCCTGAATTTTCATTGTAATTCGGCGACAATATAATAAGTATTGTTCTACTACTATTATGATACCCACTTCCACAACGTTCGATTGTGTTCATACCAAGTTCGCATATTGTATAATCGGAAAAAACGGCGTTAGCGATAGCTATGAAATGAATATCACTGTCATTTTATATGTAAATTTATATGGGAAGCCATGTCGATCGTCCTTTTCCAGCCAACTGGACGCCGTTTTTTCAGAAGCATATCAGAGTACCATAATATGGTACTATATTACGATACATTTACTTCGGTGGGCTTAACGGTATACTATATCTTCAGTGACATTGTAATATCATGGTACCATGGAGCATATAAAGTGGTACCTTCTATAGTACTATGTTGCCATAGCAATATTAGGTACATGGCGGCAATAGGGCTTAAACTTGGTATACAACGTATTTTCGGTGACATTGTCATATGATGGTACTATGATGCATATCATCTGGTACCATAATATAGTACCATATTATGTACATGGCGTTCCGATTGGGCTTAAATTTGGGATACTACATATCTTCGGTGATATTGTAATATTATGGTACCATGGAGCAAAGAGGGTACCATTACGATACATTCCTGGCGTTCGATTGGACTTAAACTTGTTATACTACGTATCTTCGGTTACATTGTAATATGATGGTACTATGATGCATATAAAATTGGTACCTTAATATAGTACCATATTTCAATACCATTTCCTGGCGTTCGATTGAGCTCATATTTGATATATACTTGCGTATTTTGATGACATGCATTATGGTACCATGAAGCATACCAACTGGTACCATAATATAGTACTATATTACATTACATGGCGTTCGATTGGGCTTAAACTTGAGATGCTACGTATTTTTCGGTGACAGCAATATGATGGTACTATAGTGCATATAAAGTGGTACCTTAATATATAGTACCGCCATTACGATACCATTTCCTGGCGTTCAGTGGGCTCAAACTTGGTATACTGCATATCTTAAGGTTACATTGTAATATGATTGAACTATGATGTATATAAGTGGTACCTTAATATAGTACCTATTACGATACCATTCATGGCGTTCGATTGTTCTTAGAATTTGGTATACTACGGATCTTCGGTGACATTGCAATATTATGGTAGCTTAAAGTATATCGAGTGGTACCATAATGCCAATACCCCCACTATTTTGATATCATTTCAAGGAGTTCGATTGGGCTGCATTTGGTATACGCATTTCTTTATAAAGATTTGTTTAATTAATAATTTTAATTTATTTTACAGATTTTAATTTATTGTTCGATGTCTGACTTAGCTTTTATGCCAGACTAATGTACTCGTATTATTAATTGTACCTGTGTCACTTTTAAAATCTACCTAGGTCTATATAAATAACGTGGCAAACAGAAGAAATTTGTTATTATAGTATTTTTTGTCGATTAACATTTTTTTTGTACATTTAATAACTTATTTCCATTATTAATTAAACTTATATTTCATTAACGTTCATAAATATCTATCAATCGCCCTGTATATTATTAATTTTAAAGATAAATTAAAGGTATTTTCAGATTTAACATTACCAAGGTATAGTGTATATTAAAAATATATATGTTTTGTAATAATATACTTAAAACTATTTTAATAGCCAAAGAATAATTAATATAAAGTGTATCTGACAAGAAAGAGAATAGAAAAGCTTGCCATTATGCACAATAAAAGAATGGGATGTAATTCAAGTCTTTTTGAATCTGGCAGCTTTGTGCATAGCCGAGCTATAAGGCCGTCTGACGACCATCGATCAAAACCACTAAAATTTCTAATTATATTCTGATTATGATATTGTCGCGCCATCTAGTATTCTATTTGTGCAATTTTAACCGCTTTCCATTTCACTTTCTGTTGCGTAGCTAGATATTCTGTGATTATAGGTATGGTATAACACAAAATTTAATCCATTGTACGGTTTATCGCCGCGCTTCGCACCGCGCCGCCTGCGCATAATGAAGGTGCGGTATGCTTCAAAGTTTTAGACTAAAATTAGCATGAACTAACTCAGCCTTTATTTCATGTTTTTCTGTGGAGACGGTCCCTCGACGTAACGGTGATGGTACGTTATAAGTTTATTTGGTTATAGTGAGAATCCGGCTTATATCGGTTTTAGTGTATAAAACAAATCTTTTCACACTGAAATTGCAAATAAGTTAACAAATTTTAGAAAATATAAATACGCTCACCGGCACAAAACGGATACCTTAAAAATTTTGATGTAATTTAAAGAGTTTAATATAATACAGGGTGGTCGAACTGCCATTCGACTTTGGTGTCCTCATTCTGCAGATAAAAAAAAAGTAAAAAAAACTTCGTATAAATGTATGTCGTAAATTGCTTAGTTTCGGACACACAGGGTGTAAAAGTTTCAATTTTATTTCGATTTTTTCTAAATAATTGTTGAAGTAACGCCAGTATTTGAATGAAAATTTATATATGGGGGTTTTTTGATATGAGAAATTTGATTTTGATGTCAATATGACTCCTACCTGATTTGAAGAGTAATAACTTTTTGTCCGTATCTGTAGGTATAAAACTACTGTAGGTATAAAACTACTAAACATATGTATATATCTTTACGACGTTTTTTACTTAAAAAAGATTTCTTTTGAAAAATCGCTACGAGTAATGATTTTCGAGATATTTGGAATCGAAATTATCAATACCTGTCATCATTGACATAAATTAAACATGTTGACTAAATAGTTATTAGACTGAATTCATAAATTTGAATTGTTTGTGTGCCAAAAATTCAAAAAAACTGTTTTATCATCATTTTTTCGAAGAAAAATTTATGATTAATTTAAAAAATAAAAAGTTCCCAAATCATATCATTTTTGTTAAATAACTATCTACTAAACATATGTTTATTTTCTGACAATAATGACATATATTGACTATTTCTATTTTAAATATCTTGAGATCGGTTGCTGGTAGCGATTTTTACCAAGAGACATTTTTTACGTAAACAATCACGAAAATATGTAATAATTTCAGACGATAGCTTTATACAGGTACGGACGAAAATATATTACTCTTCAAAACAGTTAAAACACATGTAGGTGGCGCCGCCCCCCGCAAATAATAGTCATCTTGGCATCAAAATCAAATTTCTCATGTCAAAAAACTCCCAGACATCAATTTTCATCCAAATATTGGCGTTGCTTCAGAATTTATTTGGAAAATATCGAAATAAAAATGAAACTTCTACACCCTGTATCTCCGAAACTAAGCATTTTAGGACATACATTTATACAAAGTTTTTTACTTATTTTTATCTACAGAATATGCTGCTAAAGTTTTTTGATACGAATTTTGATAATTTTTTAATCAACATGTGTAGCTGAATTATTTGATTTTTTAGTTTCTCTTTCTAAAGTAAAAATGAAAGTTCCCATCCGTCCGAAAGTTTGAAACAACCTGTGGAATATGTTAAGGGAGCAAGGAATTTAAAAATAATTTTATCAAAAATATTACAATAACAGTTAATTGCGCATTGATATTTTCGTTGATATTTTTAATTTATTATTCATCAAGGACCCCAAACAGATTAAATTATAGATTATATTTTATATCATTTGCAATTTATAGTAGTAATTACAGGAAACTCTAAATAAGTACTGATTATTTTGAAGAGGAGACATCAAAAATAAAAATGTTAAATTTGTATAAAATTAAGATAAAAATCATAATATTTTATTTATTAGATATTTGAAACACTCATTTTTGTTTTATGCTTGTAATATTTTTTTTTATCTAAAACAATAAACTTTATTTCAGCATAACGATTTTTTGAAATCTGTTTTTCGGTTCAAAAAAATTGACAAAAATCAAAGACATTATAAAGATAGACCGAACATCTCATTCATAAATAC